TGACTGCCTGTGTTGCCAAGTGCAGCCTTGGGCTTCCAGCAGCCTTTCTTCTATACATTTACTGTTTTCATAGTTTGCAACTTAAATTGGGAGTGGAAATCCTCTCTGTTTTCTTTCTTTGAGTTTTATAGAAATTTTCTTTCTCTATTTTTTTAATGTGCTTTTTCCATACATATGCACTTTTGTCCAATGCCTCTGGTTGAAGGTGTTTTAACAGTTCTTTTCAAACCAAAGTTCTGATCTTGCCTTTGTTTCTCCCTTGCCTTGTATTTTTTAGCAGATTTTTATTGAACTTTAGTTTTCTATGCAAAAATAATTTTCATAGAAATTAAGTTAATTTTATTCCAGAAAGATCATTGGCTGAACTACTCAAATTGTATATATTTCTTAAAGCTGATATCATGCAGCCTGCTTACCTCTGATATTGGTACTTTTCCTCCTGCAGCTGAAATGTGGGGCTTGTGGAGCCATTGGGCACATGAGGACAAACAAATTCTGCCCCCTCTATTATCAAACAAATGCTCCACCTTCCAATCCTGTTGCCATGACAGAGGAACAGGAAGAGGAGTTGGAAAAGACAGTAATTCATAATGATAATGAAGAACTTATCAAGGTTGAAGGGACCAAGATTGTCTTGGGGAAACAGCTAATTGAGAGGTAAGGAATAGGAAGTGCCACAGAAGAGATCTATTGGAGGTTGGTGATACTGATGGGCAGCAGGTGGATGTGCCGAGGGCATAGGAACTTGGATGGATTTTCCTCTGTAATTGTTCCAGTATGAAAATTACAATCTTTTGTTGCAAAGCACTAAGTTCCACCACTTGTTCTTGGGCATGTACCTACTTTTCTGAGTCTCAGTTTTCTTTTTTTTTTTTTTTTTTTTTCAGTTTTCTTATTTACAAAATAAAACCACCCTTTCTAGGGTAGTTATGAAATAAAAATGAGAGAGACTATATAAAGCATAGTGCCTGGCATATAGCAGATGCTCTTCATATTTTACTTTGCAGGTACTCATTATTTGTAAGGTCCCTAATCTCAGAATGTTCTAATTATGGACCATCCAAAAAGTTTGAGACAAATGATGCTTATACATACCTGTCTCATGCCCTCAGGAGAAGTGGAAAAGTTTTTAAATAAAAAATTTTCCCTTTTTAGTTTTAAAAATTTCAAACCTATGAAAAATTTAAAGATTATTACAGCATGCTGTTCCTCTAAATTTACCAGCTGTAAGCATTTGTCCCATTTGTTTCATCTTGATATATTTAAACTTTTGCTGAACTGTTTAGAAATAACTTGCAGGCATCATATTTCACTTATAAATTCTTTAGCATAGGACATAACAACATGATACATTACAACATAGAACATAATTACCATTAATTCAGTAGTATCTTGCATCCAGTTCTTATTCAAATGTCCTTAGTTGTCTCAAAGTACTTTATTGCCTATCCCCAAATTCAGGATCCAGTTCTAGTTCAAACATTTAAGTATTTTGAGTCTTTCCTAATTTAGAATTGCCTTCCCCATCCTTTTTGGTTCTTATGACATTGACTTTTTTTTTTTTTTTTAAAGAATCCAGGCCAATTGTCTCAAAATATCCCACAATCTGGATTTGTCTGGTTGTTTTCTCTTTGATTATATTCAGATTAAATGTCTTTGGCAAGGTTACTACATAGGTGGTATTATGTAGTTAATACACCACATCAGGAAGCTCATATTGTCAGGTTTCCATACTATTTTAATCATTTTGTTCTCTGTGATAAAGCTATGTTATTCTCTTTGTAATGAATATGTTGGTGAATATCTTGATCCGTAACAGTTATTCTCGCAATGGTTTTGGTATCCATTGATGATCCATTATTACATTGGGGTCGCAAAACAATGTGTTTTTTTTTCTTCTAATTCTAACATTCTTTTTACATTAAATGGCATTCTATAAAGAAAAGGTTCCCCCTTTTTTTGAGTACCATTACAGATTTTGAAATTTCTTTCTTTTGTAAACTTTACCTCATTATTAATTTTGATTTCCATTATTGTCCCAAATTTTACCCCTTCATACCAGATCCTGTGTCTTTTTTAAATGACTCTATAAATATTTGATAACTTTTTTGCTTTCTGACACAAGATGTTCTAGGATGTCCTTGAAATTTCCCTGTCCCAGACCTAGAATCAGCCATTTCTCTAAAGGAGCCCTGGTTCCATTTATTGGGGAATGCTGTTTAGAAATCAGGATCCATCTAGATGCCATTGCTACTAGGCTCTTAGTGGACAGAACTAAGAAGTATACATGTATTGTAAAGCACAATTCATAGAGTTTCAAATTGTATCTATAGTTTCTTCCTCATATCTTCCTACATTTCATATTTGTATCTTTTCTCTGATTTCCAACATCAATATATTGATTCATTTGCTTTATCCTAAGATACATACAAAATAGTTTGAGACTTACAATACCAATATTACTACCAACAACAAACCTATAGAGTCAGGTGTTTTTTGTAGTTGTCCTGCCACTGAAGTTGTACAGTCAGGGTATTATATTAAAAATATATTTGAATTCTTTTTTGTTTACTTTTTTTATTTTTTGTTAATCCTCACCCAAGGATATTTTTTCTATTGGTTTTTAGAGAGAGTGGAAAGGACGGGGAGAGGCAGAGAGAAACATCAATGTGAGAGAGACACTGATTGGTTGCCTCCTGCATGGACCCCGACAGGTCCTGGATTGAGCCTGCAAATCAGGTACATGCCCTTGACCGGAATTGAACTCAGGGTCCTTTGATCCACAGGCTGACGTTCTATCCCTATCCACTAAGCAAACTGGCTAGGGCTAGTTCCCTTATTTTCTAAATAGGAAAGTGAGGTGAAATTGTGGTTTGCCTAGTTCGTTATTATCTTGGAGATCCTATGAGGCCTTGCCTGATTTGAGCCTTAGAATGTGGATATCTGGCCTTTAGTTTGGCGTTTTCCTCCCCAGGCTTATTATCAGGGACTTTGGACTTTTTCACTATAGTTGCTTTTATCCCTGGGGACTAGAAATAGGGACTGCATGCTATGAAAGTGTTATTGATTGCAGTGCAGATGAGGTTCGAAGAAAATCTCTGGTTCTCAAGTTCCCTAAACAGCAACTCCCTCCTAAGAAGAAACGGCGAGTTGGAACCACTGTTCACTGTGACTATTTGAATGTGAGTATTTGCATTGCTTCTTTCTGACTAGATGAGCTTCTCATTAATTCCCCTAGCCCTCTAAGCCATGGTCCTGATATAGATTCTGAAAGCCTTTGTCCTTTCCCTGAAAATTATGTGTATTGTTCATTGTAAGACTTCCAAAACGTATTTGTCTAGCTAGAAAGTATTGTTTTTTAATCTATAGAAGCATTCTGATTCCTTGTTTTTCCTTAGAGACCTCATAAGTCCATCCACCGGCGCCGGACAGACCCCATGGTGACTCTGTCATCCATCTTGGAATCTATCATCAACGACATGAGAGATCTTCCAAATGTGAGTTCATTGCATTCATATCTACAGTAGAGATAAAAAGCCTTTTCTGTCTGTGATTTCAGATAGAGGACAGTACAGTCATAGGTATGTGGAACTCCTAATTTTTTTGGGTATAGTGTTATTTTTTAAATTATTTTTTCTTTTTGTTGTTAATCCTCACCCGAAGATGTTTTTCCTTTTTTTTTTTTTTCTTTGACGGGGGTAGGGAGGAGTGGGCGGGGGGAGAAAGAGATCAGTGTGAGAGAGGCACATTGGTTGTCTCCTGCACATGCTGCCAACTGGGGCCAGGGATTGAACCTGAACTTTTTTTTTTTTTTATTGAGTTTTTACAGAGAGGAAGGGTGAGGAATAGAGAACTAGAAACGTCGATGAGAGAGAAACATTGACCAGCTGCCTCTTGCACACCCCCTACCGGGGATGTGCCCGCAACCAATGTACATGCCTCTGACCGGAATCGAACCTGGGACTTTCAGTCCGCAGACCGATGCTCTACCACTGAGCCAAACCTGCTTTGGCTGAACCTGTACTCTTGATCAGGAATCGAACCCTCAACCTTTTTGGTGTACGGGACAGTGCTTGGCCAGGGCAAAAAATATTTTTATTGATGTTTGGGGGGGGGGGGGAGAGAGAGAGAGAGAGAGAGAGAGAGACAGACAGACAGACAGACAGACAGAGACATTAATTAGCTGCCTCCTAAACACCCTGTACCAGGGATGGAGCCTGTAACCTAGGTATATGCCCTGACCAGGAATCAAATTGGCAAGCTTAGTGCATAGGATGACGCCCAATCAATTGAGCCACACTGGCCAGAGCTAGGTTATAGTTTTTTGCTTCTATTGTTTTATTATAAAACAGTTGAGTAAAAGAAACAGTCAGACCTGTTCCATTTAGAAAACATACTTTGAGAGTTGATGAACAGGTAGAGAGGTAAGGTGAAAGAATCTTCATGAATTGGCTCTGACAAGTGTTCTTTGCTTATGGATGGTGCTGGCTCTTGTTTGCACAGACATACCCTTTCCACACTCCAGTCAATGGAAAGGTTGTAAAGGACTACTACAAAATTATTACTCGACCAATGGACTTACAGACACTCCGTGAAAATGTGCGTAAACGCCTCTACCCATCTCGGGAAGAGTTCAGAGAGCATTTGGAACTCATTGTGAAAAATAGTGCAACCTACAATGGTAAGAATCATCTATTCTTTGATTGAAGAAGTCACCTTTCAGATCCTCATAAGTTCAGACAGTATAGGACTAAAATGTATTAGTGCATTTTGTAGTTTTGAAAATCCAATAGTACACATTTTAGTCATTTAATATATAGTTCACCCTTGAATAATCTGGGTTTCAATTGTGTGGGTTCATTTATATATGATTTTTAAAAATATATTTTTTATTGATTTCAGTGAGGAAGGGAGAGGGAGAGAAAGATACAAACATCAATGAAGAGAGGGAATCATTGATTGGCTGCCTACTGCACATTGTACCGAGCCTGAAACCCAGCCATGTGCCCTGGACCAGAATTTAACCTGGGACCCTTCGGTCCACAGGCCGACACTCTATCCACTGAGTCAAACTAGCCAGGGTTATATCTGATTTTTGAATTGGCCTTGACAGTTCAAACCCACATTGTTCAATGGTCAACTGGTAGTGGAATTCTGAATATACAGAGAACCAACTTAAATTATAAATGGATTTCCTATTGTGTGAGTAGTCAGTGCCCTTAACCTCTACATTGTTCAAGGGTCAACTTTATATTGCTTCTTTTTATTACCACTTTTAATGTATCCTCTGGGGAATTTGGAGTCTGTATCTGTTGAAATGAAACTATTACATGGGGAGTACTAGAAGTTTAAGAAGTGGGCCTAGGTAAAAAGAAGGGAGAAGCATTCAATGTGGATGAAACCTGTGCAGAGTATGTGCGTGTTGACATATTTGCTCTGTGTGAATCTTTGATTTGGTCTACAAATCTATTACCGGGGATGTTATATATCCACTTTGCTTAAAAGCTGGAAAGGCAAGGAGGAAGAAATCTTTCTGAGTCTTTAAAGGGGGTGAAACAATACAGCTTGTGCATGTAAAGAATAAACTTTTTTAGTTACCATTATGTCCTTGAGCACAGATTAGTATAGGGGTTAAGAGTATAGGTAGCACTAAAATCTATGCTCCTCATACTATTCCAAAAAATTCAATAGGAAGGAACACTTCCAGCCTCGTTCTATGAAGCCAGCATTACCCTAATATCCAAACCAGATTAAAAAAAAAAAAAACACAATGAAAGAGAACTACAGGCCAATATTCCTCATGAACATAGATGCCAAAATCCTCAAAAAAATTCTAGCAAATCGGCTCCAGCAGCACATCAGAAAGATCATACACTATGACCAAGTAGGATTTATCCCAGGGATGCAAGGATGGTACAATATCTGCAAATCAATAAACTTGATGCATCACATAAACAAATTGAGAGATAAAAATCACATAGTCATATCAATTGATGCAGAAAAAGCATTTGACAAAAATCCAACACCTTTCTTGATAAAAACTCTCAGCAAGGTGGGAATAGAAGGATCATACCTCAACATAATAAAAACCATATATGACAAACCCACAGCCAACATCATACTCAGTGGGCAAAAACTAAAACCATTTCCCCTAAGAATAGTAACAAGACAGGGATGCCCACTCTCACCACTCCTGTTCAACATAGTACTGGAAGTATTAGCCATTGCAATCAGACAAGAAGAAAAAATAAAAGGTATCCAAATTGGAAAAGAAGAAGTAAAAGTGTCCTTATTAGCAGATGACATTATACTATACATAGAAAACCCTAAAAATTTACTCCATCAAAAATTACTAGACTTAATGAATGAATTCGGCAATGTAGCAGGATACAAAATTAACGCCTATAAATCTGTGGCATTTCTATACATCAATAATGAACTTACAGAAAGAAAGGCTAAAAAAGCAATCCCATTTACCATCGTACCAAAAAAATTAGGATACCGAGGAATAAATTTAACGAGGTAAAAGATCTATGTGTGGAAAACTACAGAACACTGAAAAAAGAGAGAGAGGAGACATAAACAGATGGAAGACCATACCGTGTTCATGGATTGGTAGAATCAGCATCATTAAATGTCCATACTACCCAAAGCAATCTATAGATTAAGTGCTCTCCCCATTAAAATACCAATGGCATGTTTTGCAGGCCTAGAACGAACTCTCCAAAAATTCATCTGGAATAAAAAAAGACCCCAAATAGCCACAGCAATCCTGAGAAAGAAGAGCAAAGTAGGTGGGGTTTAAATACCAGATATCAAGCTGTATTATAAAGCTACTGTTCTGAAAACAGCCTGGTACTGGCACAAGAACAGACATATAGACCAATGGAACAGAACAGAGAACCCAGAAATTGACCCAAGCCACTATGCTCAATTAATATTTGACAAAGGAGGCATGAACATAAAATGGAGTCAAAACAATCTCTTCAATAAATGGAGTTTGGAAAATTGGACAGATACATGCAAAAAAATGAAATTAGACCACCAATTTACACCATACACAAAAATAAACTCCAAATGGATAAAGGACTTAAAACATTAAGACGGGAAACCATAAAAATAATAGAGGAATCCACAGGCAGCAAAATCTCAGACATATGCCAAAGCAGTTTCTTCACTGATACTGCTCCTAGGGCAATGGAAGCTAAAGAAAGAGGGGAAAAAAAAGAGTACAGGTAGCATATGAGTCATGGCTCTGAATCCTACAAATTGAGTCACCTTAGATAAATCATTTTAACTGCTCATACTCAGTTTTCTCATTTGTGAACATGGGGCAATGGTGTCTTATTTTCCCATTCTTACTGAACATGTCATTAAACATTTGTTGATGAATAAATGAATGAATGCTAAATGAATTAGTGGTTGAGAAAAGAGCTGAAGATTTTTAGGCTTTGGGGGTACTTACACGAAAGAATAGACAGGGAAAGGTAAGAAATACGGAAAGGAAGTAGTCAAAATTATTAATCTAGATGAAAATATTTTAACTATCTTGCTGAGCTTAAATTAGGGTAGCCATAAACAGGGAGTGTAGGATATGGTTTCTGAAGCTCTTGTTACAGATATCAGGGAAACTAAAGTAATATTCTGAGGTGAGATATTCTTTTATGAGAAAGGCTTTGGATTAGCCATATGTTGGGAGGACATCACAAACTGAGTTCTGCAAATAAAAATTAGAGGCAAATTCTATATGCTAAGTATGGAAAGATTTTAAATCCTGAATTGATCTCAGCCACCCTTAAACATAATTGTTGTTCTCCATCCATGGTATCATTTTCAAGGTATTAAAGACAGCAGTATCAACAGTTGTACTACTATGTGTGGATATACACAAATACGGAAGAGAGTTAAAATTAAGCTTGTTCATTTGTTGTGTATCTACTATTTGTTAGGCACTAAAAATAAAGATAAGACTGGTTTATGTGTGTAACCCAGCAGCTAGTCTGATGCCTGGCACATATTTGGTGATCAAGTAAATGTGGAAAAGTGTTGGCAGCTCTTGCCTCCCATTTAAAAGAATATATTTTTATTTATTTCAGAGAAGGGATAGGTAGAGAGAGATAGAAACATCAGTGAAGAGAGAATCATTGATCGGCTGTCTGCTGCACGACCCCTACTGGGAGTCGAGCCTGCAACCCTGGGCACAAGTCCTGCCCGGAAATCCAACCGTGACCTGGTTTTCTGGTTCATAGGTTGAGGCTCAACCACTGAGGTACACTGGCTGGGCTTGCCTCCCTTTTTTAACAGTTCCATTTCTTCTTGCTCTATATTTTAGGGCCAAAGCACTCATTGACCCAGATCTCTCAATCCATGCTGGATCTCTGTGATGAAAAACTCAAAGAGGTAAGACATGTAAAATGAGAGAAAGGTAATGGAATTAGAAGGTGGTGGGTAGCAGGGTTAAGGAATTAGGGAATGCAATGGAAGAAAGTAAAGTAATGTAGGAGTAGCAGATCTTTAATATGTTAGAGTCTGGAAAGGACCTTAGAAATTATAAGCCAATTCCTTTTGTAGATGGAAAAACGGAGGTCCATTGAAGAAAATGACTTGTCCTGGGCATCATGACTTTTAAATAGTAGAGCTAGGATTAAAATCTATAACCCACATGTCTCTTTGGGAAAGGCCAAGGAAAGTGATTTTCTAGGAAGTCATCTGGAGTTAAGAGGCTGTGTTTTGGCAGGGAGGAATTTTAATTTTTAAAAGGTAATCTATCTATATTCCATCTTCTTACCTAAAAAAGAATATGGCACCTTACGTTTACAAAAACACATTGATGATATAATGATAATGATAATACTGAAGTAGATATTTCATAAAAGGATAATCAAATGGCCGGTGAACATGAAAAAATTCTGAACTTGATTGATTATTGGGGAAGTGCAAATTTAAACCATGGTTAGATACCACTACATACCCATTAGAAAAGCTAAAATTTTTAAAAGACTTTAAAAAAAGATCGATAATACTAAGGGTTGGTAAAGGTGTGGAACAATTGGTACATAAACTTTTCCCCCGTAAAGTGTGAAATGAATTTGATTTAGATTTCCTTACACAGAAGTCATTAATCAACAGTAATATGTTCAGTGTTTTCAACAATAACTTTACAGCAAAAACAGTGTGATGGTAAAATCTAACTTAATAAAGGTGTTTCTATTATGGAAGCTAAGGTATTGATGCCCAGGGATGTATATTTTTGGTGAATATAGAGTAGAATACAAAATACATAAAGGAGTGGTTGGTACAACCTGTTTGATCCTTTTACTGGAATGTCATTTATCTTGACTTTTTGCCTGAAACTGAATAATCGACAATTAGACTTTTTGTGACAACGGCAATGGAAAACTGAACTTTAAATTATCCTTAATTTTCTGTGGTGATCATACCTCACGGAAACCTTTGCTTTGTTTCATGTCAGAAAGAAGACAAATTGGCTCGTTTAGAGAAAGCTATCAATCCCTTGTTGGATGATGATGACCAAGTGGCATTTTCTTTTATTCTGGATAATATTGTCACCCAGAAAATGATGGCAGTTCCTGATGTAAGTGGTCTCGGTACTAAATATTGTGAAGATAGTATAGGGGAAAGGAAGGGATAATAGGGTATACATGTGTATGTATATTGGGGAGTTTGGTGGAGGGTGGTGTTTGTTAATTCAAATTGGTATATAAATATCAAAACTGACTTTTTTGCTCTATATGTGCATTATCTTTGAAATCAAAGAGGCCAGGAATCTGTGGACATAAGAGGTTGTTTCTTCCTATTGTTTGCATTCAGTACTTGAATGTTCCCAAATAGCCCTGGATAGAAACTAATATGCCAGCCAACAGAAGCTTTGAAAATATAGTTGCTTCTTGAAAAATGACAGATTGATAATTATCCAGTATTTGTTGTCTTTTGTTTCATTTCTTTTGCAACTTTATGACAAAGCTACTATGTTAATTCAATGCACGATTTTGTTATAAGGATCCTGCCTAGGAATTCTGTTCTAAGTTTCCTTTTGTGTTGTATATGTGTAATGCAATAATACTTCTGGATGGGTCTAGGGCAGTGGTTGGCAAACTCATTAGTCAACAGAGCCAAATATCAACAGTACAACGATTGAAATTTCCTTTGAGAGCCAAATTTTTTAAACTTAAACTTCTTCTAATGCCACTTCTTCAAAATAGTCTCGCCCAGGCCATGGTATTTTGTGGGAGAGCCACACTGAAGGGGCCAAAGAGCCGCATGTGGCTCGCGAGCTGCAGTTTGCCGACCATGACTCTAGGGAATAAGGAATTTTGAGTATGGAGCAGGGGTTCTTACTCTTTCAGAGCATAGGAACCCTTAAAGGAATACATGAACACTTTAAATTACATACAGAGTTTCGTGTGGTTATGTGTTTTTCTGGGAAAAGGGTCATTAGTTTTGGTCAATTTTAGGAATGTCTGTGTCCCAATGAAGGTTGAGAATCTCTAGTATAATATAAAGAATGGTTTTTATTTAATTTCTCATGCTTTCTTTTTGCTAGTCTTGGCCATTTCATCACCCAGTTAATAAGAAGTTTGTCCCAGATTATTATAAAGTGATTGTCAGTCCAATGGATTTAGAGACTATACGTAAGGTGAGTGATTTGTTCTAATATGTATTTTTGGGATCATATAACTTTGTATATATATCTAAGTGCCTGATTCTTTTAATCACAGAATATCTCCAAGCACAAGTATCAGAGTCGAGAGAGCTTTCTAGATGATGTCAACCTTATCCTTGCTAACAGTGTTAAGTACAATGGTGGGTATGTCTCCTTGCTTTTCTCTCTCCATCAGTTTGTCCCATCTAACATTAATTAGTTAGCATTATTAAAATTTAAGTGCATGAAGAAGTCTTGAGCAGTGATAGCAAAATCAGTCAGGTATCTTATTCTATTTTTTTTTTTAATTTTTTTTGTTAATCCTCACTTTGAGGATATTTTTTCCATTGATTTTTAGAGAGAATAGAAGGGGAGGAGGAGGGGAGGGAACAAAAGAGAGAGAAACATTGATTGGTTACTTCCTGCATTGGGCTCTGACCTAGGCTGGGGATCAAACCTACACCTGAGATATGTGCCCTTGACCAGGAATCCAACCCGAGACTCTCTGGTCCACGGGCAATGCTGTAACCACTGAGAAACCTGCCAGGGCTTGCTTTGCCTTTTTTTTTTTTTTTTTTTTTAAGCAGGCACACATTTTTATTTATTTTAAAATAATGGTTTTCTTTATATTTTAGTGTATGTGTTCTGTAAAGTTTGTTAATAACTTTTAATGATGGAAAAGCAATGCACATTTATTTTTTTTAAACTTTGCAAAGAACAGAAAAATGAGATGAGAATAAAAATCAAGTGGATATTACTTTGGACTTTGAGTCATCACTGCTTTCCATGAGATGTGAAAACTCACCTATGCCCCAGGCCCTTAGATGGAGCTTAGGGAAATGTGTGACTCATAGATCATGGTGAGCTCATATATGAACTGATTGAATAATATATACCAGGTTCTGTGCTGCTACTTAATCTATTGATAGTCACTGTCCTCATGTAATTCACAATCCAATTGAAGGGAAAGGCATTAAAATGCAGCAAGTGCACTAGAGGAGAGGAAGCAGTACCTTCACCTAAGTGTTAAGGCAGGCTTTTTTTTTTTTTAATTTCACAGACGAAGGGAGGGAGAGAGAGAGAAACATCAATGATGAGAGAGAATCAATTTGATGCCTCCTCCATGCCTCCTACTGGGGATTGAGCCCAAAACTTGGGCATGTGCCCTGACCAGGAATTGACTCGTGACCTTCTGGTTCATAGGTTGACACTAAGCCATGCCGGCTGGGCAATAAATTTCTGTTTTGAGAGACTCACTTGTTAAGAAAATATTGAGTGAGCATCTAATGTGTGTTGGCACTGGTAGATGCTGCAAATACAAAATCACATTAGATATGGTCCCTGCCCCCAATTTGGTTATAGTTTAGTAGGCAAAACAAAAGAAAAATTATGGAACTTAACCTGTTAACCGGGGAGTTCCCTTTTTAATTAAGCAACGTACAACGGGCGCATACTCTTTCACTAGGACGTGTCAGTACGTCACACCCAGCGGACGTAATTTTATTTACACTTAATTAAAATAAATGAAATATATATTTTTTCATTTATTTATATATAAAGCACAAAGTAAAATACAAAATTACAAACAAATAGAAAAGACCAACAAAAAAATGGAAACATCGAATTAAAAAATTATAAATTTTACAAACAATTATAAAGATTACAACCGAAGCCGGTTTGGCTCAGCGGTAGAGCGTCGGTCTGCGGACTGAAAGGTCCCAGGTTCTATTCTGGCCAAGGGCATGTACATTGGTTGCGGGCAC